GAGCTGGTATCAGTATAATCCCCTTCACTGAAGCAAAGAGGTAGAAATACCAGACATAGTCAGTAATTAATAATTATGGGTGTCATTATTCTTTTAACCACAAAGTCACTGCTTCTTTGTTGTTGTTTTTGTTGTTATAATTTGTTGTTGTGATATCATACTGAACTGTGACTGCCTAGTTCCTGACTTTGATACTACTGGCTTCTATTGATACATGAGGATCATACAGTGTAGCCTCTATATAATGGACACTGACTCTCTACTTTTTATAGCAGCTAGACATCTCCATTTAACAGACAGCACCTAGTGTACCCATTAGTCCCATTACATGTACATGTACATCCTGAGTTTCCCACAAAGCATGCTAAGTGAGCTAAAAAGCATGAGCTTCTTGAACTGACAATTAGCTTCATAATAGAGGATATGGCTTTGGAGTAACTTTAAAAATTCATAAAAAATCCAATTTTGATTGGAATGAGCTCAAACTTTCTATGCAAAATAAGTACATAATGTATTTGTATGTGTATCAGAAAACATTATAAAAATGGAGAATTCTCAACTTTTCATTTTTAGCTAAATTTGGCCAAAGGCCAATTTTGGAGCAACTTAAAAAATTTGTAAAAATCCTTTGTTTTTTCTGACAGTAATTATTCCACTAACAGAATCAGCTTCCTCCATTATTAATTTATTGATTTATTATTGTTTAGACTAATGGAGATGCTAATGGAGTATCCACTTCACCAACTGGTGGTACATCAACTGGTAGAGAAGTGGTTGCTATTGGAGACTACACAGCTCAATATTCTGATGAACTGACCTTCTCTGAGGGAGAAATAATTCAAATATTAAAAGAAGGTAAAGAAGAACTGATCTGTTTTTTTAAACTGCATGTACATTGACAGCAGCAGCTGCATATGTACATGTACATATGCTTACATGTATTAGTGCATTACTGTTTAGTGGCGAATCTTTGAGGTACCAAGGCTTAGTATTGGGTGCATTCTATTATTGTGTCAGTAGTGTATTGGGAGTTTAATGTAGCTGCCATTTTGTCATTGAGCACGTGAAGAATAAAACTAAATGGAGTGGATTATATAATCTTCATGATTTCAGCATTATTGAATCACCAACAGCAATCGTCTGAATAATTTTCACTATTTTTACTAAAAAATAATTTATTATTCTGCCTCTCTTTCTCTCTCCCTCAGTTGATGATAACTGGTATCATGGTGTGTGTCAGGATAAAGTTGGTATATTTCCAAAGACTTACGTCAGAGAACCTTAACAACAACCAGCTGCTAACAACCAGCTCTACCTGCTCCTCTTCCTCTCTCTTCATGATCCTCTCTTGTAGTCATTAGCTGTTTATGAGTTAATCAATTGTTTTATTTGACATCATTTTATTTTATTCACTGACAATTATGGTATTATTTTATTTTCTTGCTGTTATTATTGTGATCTATTACAATTATCTATTCTATTATTCATTGTTGCATGTGAAGTGTATTGAATCTATTGATAATGAATTCCTGATGTGTGTTGTGCACTTCTAGTAAAAACTAATTAACTATCAATGAATCTAATTAACTGATCACAAGATGTCGTTATGGGACAAGTGTAGGGCTGCGTTTGAGAGAAGAGATCATAAAAAAGCTGTTCGCTTACTACCATTAGTGGAGGAACCGAATAAAATTAAAAGAGGAGGTGAATGTCTACTTCATTTGTCTTCAAGGAATGGCTGGTTAGATGTTACAAAAGATCTCATCACTAAATATCACTGTGACCCACACGAAAGAGATGGTGATGGTTGGACTTGTCTTCATTGGGCTGCACGAGATAATCATGTTGATGTGATGAGATATCTCATTGATGAGTGTCACTGTGATCCAAAGGTTCCTAATGAGTTTGGAGAGACTGTTCTTCACAGAGTAGCTGAACACGGATCACTTGATTTCATGAAGTACTTGATCAATCATCATCACTGTGATCCAATGGCTACTGACAATTGGGGTGGCACTATTCTTCACAGTGCTGCTAGACACATTGATATTGTAAAGTATCTCATTGATGAGTGTCACTGTGATCCAATGGCTGTTGAAAGGATGCTGGGATGGACACCTCTTCACTTTGCTACTCGTTGGGGTAGATCTGCAGCTGCTGAATATTTACTATCAACTGGTAAATGTGATCCATTGGCTAAAGACAATGTGGGGAGAACACCATTTAAACTAGCTAAGGAGATTGGTAACACTGATGCTCTTTCTGTCTTGAAGAAGTTTGGTGGTATAAAATCATCTCATCCAATTGATTCTTATGTTAACGTCCTCCTTGTGGGTAATCCTGGAGCTGGTAAAAGTACTCTTAGTCATGTCATCAATGACACAGCTAGTTTTACTCTTCTTGGTTCCTTTAGAAATGTTGGAGGGGTAGTGCCCTGTACTGCTGGTATCATTCCTTATAAACTACAACACAGGACACTGGGTAACATCATTCTTCATGATTTTGCTGGTCATTCAGAATACTACTCCAGTCACAGTGCTGTCATTGAGAATCTGTTACAAGGTTCTGGTGGTGTGTTCCTGATAGTAGTCAATATATTGGAGAAGGAAGCAGTGAAACAGCTTCATCAGTGGCTAACAGTTGTGAGAAATGAAGCACAGAAAGCTCTTAATGAATGCCATGTTATTGTAATAGTCAGTCATGTGGATGAGATAAGTAATCCTGTTGAAAGGACAAGGAGAAAGGAAGAAATACAGAAGATTATCGTAAAGGAAAGGTGTGATAGTGTGTTCTTAGATTGTCGTAAGCTTGGTGGGAGTGGTGTGGATTCCTTCTTTAATAAGTTGTGTAGTGCCTGTGAGTCGATTCGTAGTACAAGTGGAAGGAATTTGAGTCTTTATTGTCACATGATGTATGGTCTACTGGAGGAAAGGAAAGAGAATATACTGACTCTCTCTGATGTAATGTCTGCTGGTAAGGACAATGATGATTACTTTATACCAGATAAGAGAGAAGACGTTTTGGATGTTCTTCATTCGTTGCACTCAATTGGTTTGATGAGTGTTCTTAAAAGTGAAGAGAAGGTATGGGTTGTTGTGAATAAGGGTATACTACTAACTGAGGTGAATGGGATTCTCTTCGCTCCAGAGACATTCAAAGAACATGTTGACATTGCTAGCAATACTGGTATTGTTAGTGTGTCTGGTCTGACTAGACTCTTCCCTAAATATGATCCTGACATGTTGATTCGTTTTCTAAAGAACATGGAACTCTGTCAAGAAATTAATCCATCTTTCCTAAGAATGACAAACCTCCATCAGTTAACAGTGGAAGAGGAGGAGGAGGAGGGAGGGACAGAAAGAAGAGGAGAAAGGTTGTTGCACTTTCCATGTCTTTTTTCTAGTGATAGACCTGATGAGATGACTAGTCAAGTGTACCAGTTCGGTTGGTGTCTACAGTGTACTAATAAACATCATTTCTTTCCTCCTCAATACTTCCATGTTTTCTCATTACGTCTTGCTTACAAAATGGCTCTACCTCAAGAAGATGACAAGTTAAAGCGACGCTGTACATTTTGGAAGAATGGACTTTATTGGTCTAATAGTCATGGTGTAGGATCACTGGTAGAGATTGTGGACGAGAGCCAGTGTGTACTAGTAATGATGTCCTGTGAGAAAGGTTACA